CTCTGTCATTCTTGCTCTTTTCTGCTGACTGGCTTTTCTTTCGTGGTTATGGATTGCTATTTTCTTGGTCTTTCCATGCCTGGCAATGTTTAATTAGATAATGGACGTCGTGAATTTTACACTCTTGAATACAAAATTTTATTATATTCTTTTAGGTTGTACTCAATTCTGTTCTGTAATTTGTTAGCCCTATTGTCAAGATAGAGGCAGAGAAGACTTTAAGGTGACACATCCTTTTATGGACTCTATCCAATGTGCTAAATATTATGAGATCTTCTTACTCTGCTTCATGGAAAAAGGAACTATTTGTGAGTTACAAAGATGGCTTTACCGATTGCTTTCCAGTGGTTATTTCTCCATTATAGAAGTTTCTTTTCATGCATGTGTAGATCAGTATTCAGGCAAAGCCTCACAGTAAGCTGTCTACAGATCTGAGCACTCTGTGCAGTTCCCGCCACTCTGGTAGTTGCCCAGCCCTTCCTAAATACCTATCTCTATGTCCTCAACTCTGAAGAACATTGAGGTCTATTTGGCTTCCTCTTTTCTGCTGCCTGAAAACTGCTTCTAGGCAGTAAGATGTGATAATTACAGGTCTCTCTTCAGTGTCACAGTGACTTATGCTGCCTGATGTTTAATATGTGAAAGCCACTGTTTCGTATATTTTGTCCAATTTTCTAGTTGTTTAACTCAGGAGTATAAATTCACTCCTTATTATTCCATCGTGGCCAGGACTTTGCACAGATAAATGTAATAAAAATACATCATCCGGCCGGGCACGGTGGCTCAAGCCTGTAATCCCAGCACTTTGGGAGGCCGAGGCGGGTAGATCACGAGGTCAAGAGATCGAGACCATCCTGGTCAACATGGTGAAACCCCGTCTCTACTAAAAATACAAAAAATAAGCTGGGCATGGTGGTGTGTGCCTGTAATCCCAGCTACTCAGGAGGCTGAGGCAGGAGAATTGCCTGAACCCAGGAGGCAGAGGTTGCGGTGAGCTGAGATCGCGCCATTGCACTCCAGCCTGGGTAACAAGAGCGAAACTCCATCTCCAAAAAAAAAAAAAAAAAAAAAAAAAAAAAAAAAAAATACATCATCTTCCATTTTATTTATAAGATCAACTGACTGATTTTAGGGAATAGGGGAAGTCATTATCTGACTTTTAACAAAACTGCTGCCTAATTGGTGACATTACTTTTTTTAATAGTAAAAAAAATAGATAATAAAGCCAGCAATATACCTCTTACATGTGCATATATTGGTAGGATGAGTTTTTCAGGTAGGACAGATATTATAAACAAGTACTAAAAACTGATTGACGACTCCTGCCTAACTAGTTCACAAAGGATTAATCTGAGACTAATATTTTTATTAAGCATAAATTGTGCAACATATTTTTTAAATTCTTAAGTATAAAAAAATATTTAAAAAACTTCCATTTTGAGCAAAGTACACAAGATAGAGATAAAGCTAGGAAAGTACATGACATATTCAGGGACTAGAGAGTGAGTGCTACATTTAATAAACACAAAGAATGGAAGTGTAGGGCTGAGGGCCCCACAGGGTCATGGGTGTCCCTTATGCTGTGCTGAGGCGCAGGATCCGAGAAATAAAGAGACAGGACACAGAAGTACAGGGAAAACGCAGCTGGGCTCACGGGGGCCACGCCACCTATAAGCAGAGTCAGGCAAGGCCCCGAATGTCCAGAGGCATCAGTATTTATTGTGTATAGGTTAGGGAGCAGGGCAGTGAGTGAAGTCATCTTTAAGGATAGTGATAGGGTCGTGAGCAATACAACAAGGGGTCCATCCCCATTAGGTCACCTAGGCTAGGAGGTGGACAGTGCACAGCAAGGGGTCCATTCCCATTAGGTCATCCAGGCAAGGAAATGGGCTGTGTGCAGTATGTGGTCCACCCTCATTAGGTCAACGAGGCATGGAGGCGGGCAGTGCACAGTGAAGAGGGTGTAGTGTGCAATACCTCTATCTACGGGCAAGCTACTTCTCAGAAGATTTATAGGAGGATGCTATAAGTCACACAGCAGTGACAGAGCTGTCAGGGTTACCGGCACCTGCTGGCAGGTTCCAACGAGTTCTACAGGAAGATGCTTTTTGAGCAGCACAGTAACAAGAACTGATATAGTTCATAGTCACCAAGATGCAATTATCTGGAGGGATTTTTGAGCCCTCAGATGCTCGAGGGATTGCTGGTCTGAGGGCAGCCCTCCACAAGAACTGGAGCAAGGTCCCACAACTCCTTTATCAGGAGTGGCTGTTGCCCCAAGCCTGCCATATACAGCGGGTATCTTTATGATACTGAACGCTGCCACCTGGGCCATGGATTCTTATCCTGGTGTAACTGTTCTCCCTTAAACCATGCTCATACTGTGTCTGCTCCAGACATTCCTCCAACTCTAAGCTGCTTATTCCTTAACTCATGCTCTGTACCATGTCTACTCCAGGCATTCCTCTGATTATGAACTAAGATATAGTTTTATATATATATATGGAAATAAGTGAGTGGTAAGATATTCTTTAGGCACTCATTCTATGAACTAATACATGATTATATGTAGAGGATTATATAATGGGAAATAACACAGTAGTAACACTATTAACTGAGATAATCTTCAAGCTCTAGTTCTGTAAACTAATATATGATTATATAAAGGATTACATAGAAGGAAGTAACTGAGTAGTAATACTATAAACTGAGATATTCTTCAGATCTTAATTGTGCCAGGATTCTGCTTAGCTTTCCTTCCTCGAAGCCTATATGGGGGGTTATCCACATGGAAGATGATATCAAAAATGTAATGTGGGGGTCAGTTACTGGAGGACCTTGAATTTGAACTTTTGATTTTTATCTGAAAACTGAAAGTCTTTTCAACAAATGATGTTGGATCAACTAGCATTCATATGCCAAAAAAAAAAAAAAAAAAAGAATCTAGACAATAACCTTACAACCTTCACAAAAATTAATTCAAAACGAATCACAAACCTAAACGTAAAACACAAAACTATAAAATTCCTTGAAGATTACACAGAAGAAAATCCAGATGGCCTTGGGTATGGCAATGACTTTTTAGATATAAAACCAAAGCCATGATCCATAAGAGAAATAACTGATAAGCTTCAATAAAATTTAAAACCTCTGCTCTGTGAAGAAAACAAGCCACAGATTAGGCGAAAATATTTGCAAAAACATCTAATAAAAGACTTCTGTCCAAAATATACAAAAAAAGAAGCTGAAGGAAAAAAAAAAAAAACCTCATTAAAAATGCACAAAAGACTAGAACACTTTACCAAAGATATCCAAATAACAATTAAGTACATGCGAAGATATCTAACACCATATGTCATCATGGAACTGCAATTGAAAACAAAAGTAAAATATCACTAGATACCTATTAGAAAGGCCAAAATCCAAAACACTGAAAACACCAAATGCTGGCTAGAATGTAGAATAGAAATTCTAATTGATTACTGGTGGGAGTACAAAATGGTACAGCCACATTGAAAGAAGTCTGGCAGTTGCTTACAAAACTCAATATACTTTTGTCATATTATCAGGTAATCCCTCTCCTTGGTATTTACCCAAATGAACTGAAAATACATCCACCCAAAAACCTACACACATTTATGGCAGTTCCCCTTATAATTGCCAAAACTTAGAAGCAATCAAGATGTCCCTCAGTAAATGCGTGGATTAATAAATTGTGGAATATAAAGACAATGAAATATTACTTAGTGCTAACAACAAATGCCTCCCAAGCCATGAAAACATACAGAGAAATTTTAAAGGGATATAATTAAGTGAAAGAGGCTAATTTGAAAAGGCTACACACTGTATGAGTCCAACTATATGACACTCCAGAAAAGGCAAAACTGTAGAGAGTCATTAAAAAAATTAATGATTGCCAAGGGCTGAAGGGAGGGACAGATGAACAGGTAGAGCAAAGAAGGTTTTTAGGGCAGTAATGCTATGCTGTATGATATTACAATGGTAGATATGTGACATAAATTTGTCAAAATCCATAATAAGTACAACACTAGGAGTGAACATTAAAGTAAACTATGGACTCTGAGTGATGAAGTGTCAACGTAGGCAGGCTCATTAATTCTCACAAATATACCACTGTGGTACGGAATGTTAACCGTGGGAAAAACCGTGCCCGTGTGATGAAAGGAACTATATAGAAACTCTGTACTTTTGACTCAGCTTTGCTGTCAACCTAAAACTGCTCTAAAAAACAGTCTCTTTAAAAAAACAATCCTGGCAACACATGAAGTATGAGCCAGACAAGGAGTTAAAGTGAGAGAAATCAATTAACAGGATACAGTACTTTAGGCAAGAAACAAGGATGGGTTAAAGTACAACACTAGAAGAAGAAACAAAAGCATTCTAAAATAGTATTGAAGTTTCTTCATGTATACAAACTAATCTACTAGTGACAACCATTGTGTATCTTCATGTACCATGAGAAGGACTTATTTTCTCCAAATTCACAACAAACCAATATAAGCAAGGTTTTTAGCAAAATACATATGGTACCTTGGAATAACTTTCCAGGTTTACATTATGACAAATGCATGCAGTGAGATTAAATAATATGTAATTAATTACTTCCATGCTTAAGTAGGAACTGGGTCTTCAACCTAAGCAATTTTCTAAAGACTGAAACACTATAAAAATAATAAAAGCATAGTTTTTTTAATGCTTAGTTTTCATAAACAGTCTGTGAAATAACTACGAATAAAGACAACATCCTGCTGAAGTAATAGTTTAATTTTTTTAATGAATGTAAATTGTTATCAGTTTGAGAAAGCATAATTTTATGTCAATCTTAAATGAACTACTCCCTCCCAGAAAACTTCAAACATTCTAAAATAAACACTGAATACCTGCTAAAAATCAGTGTAAATAACTCAGTGTGGAAAAACAGTTAAAACGACAATAAAAGAAGGAATTGCTTTTTTCTGAAAGTTGAAAATTAGCCTCACCCTTTTCTTCAGGCTTTAAAGAAAAATACTTCTTCTCTGTAGCTATCAGTTCAGGCTTGGGGGCTATGGGGAAAAAAAATTAATACTTTTTTAAGAAGATAGTTTTAAAGCACAGAGATAATTACACTTCTAAAAAATAAAGATGCTCACGCCTGTAATCCCAGCACTTTGGGAGGCCAAGGCGGGTGGATCACGAGGTCAAGAGATCGAGACCATCCTGGTTGACAGGATGAAACCCTGTCTCTATTAAAAATACAAAAAATTAGCTGGGCATGGTGGCGCATGCCTGTAATCCCAGCTACTCAGGAGGCTGAGGCAGAATTGACTGAACTCAAGAGGCGGAGGTTGCAGTGAGCCGAGATCGCGCCATTGCACTCCAGCCTAGGTAACAAGAGCGAAATTCCGTCTCAAAAAAAAAAAAAAAAGATGCATTGAAAAATAACAACAGATGAAACCATGTTTAATAGAATGAACAATGTACCAGAATCACCAGGCTTAATTTCTAATCCTAGAGTTGGCGCTACTACCCTACTCTGTGGTCTCAGTTCCTTCTTTGTCAACTTTAGGTGTTAGAGATCATATCCTCTACCATACTGCAGTTCGTGGTGATGAAAACATGTTATTTTTTCAGTGTCCAACATATGAGTACTGAGCACTTGAAATGGCATTCCTATGACTGAGAAACTGAATTTTTAAATTTTATTTAATTAATTTTAAAAGCCCCACACGGTTAATGGCTACCATATCGAAGGGTAAAGCTATATAATAAGGCTTCAACACCAACTTCTATAAAAATTACTTCTATGCTTTCTTTGCTCCAGGATTAGGTCAGCAAATACAAAGCTAAAATCAAGGGAGAAAAAGATTGGATTATCCTTAAAAAAAACAGCAAATCTTTTAGGAAATAGATATTACACCTGTAAAGAGCAAGTATTCAAAAGTAGAATTTATGAAAGCAAAGAGCCAGATTACAAAACTTTAACTCTTGAAGACACTACTAGGTATACCATAATTTATTCATCTATTTAAAATCATCTATTTTGTTTAACCTTCAGCATACTCTCTGTAAGAAGAGTATGCAAATTAATATTATTTGAGACATTAACAAATGGATTTCATTTGGAAAGGTGGAATAACTAATTGGCCAGGTCAATATATTAAGTTTTCTAAAACAGTGTAAATTTGGTCAATTTTATTAACTTAAAATTACATATAAAGTATCTACATTATTTTCAAGATCCCTATTTTATACCATTTGTACTTAAAAAAATATTGACAGATACTAATGCATAGGAACACTCAATTTTCATATATTTCTAAAAATTTTTACAGACTACAACATACTTGATAAAAGTTAAAAATCTGCGTTAGATCCAATATGGCCATTTTAGAATTTTCAAATATTGGAAATAGCAAACTGAAAAATATGTTTCTTACATACCTGGACCCTTAGCAGGAGGTGGTGGTTTCTTCGGTTTCTGTTAAAATAATAATGGTGGAAATGGCTGACCAGTTTCATATCAAATATAGTTAAAATAAACACCAATTAGTAATAATCTAAATTATACAAATGTCTCTCCTCTTCATTCCATCCTTGCCAAAAACTATAAAATGCTAAGATCCTAACAACTACCCAAAAGGGCAATGACAACAAATTATTTCATTAGAAGAAATAGTCTCATTGATCAAAATTCAGTCAAATATTTCAATCTATATATCACTGGATTGAATTAACCTTAAAAATCTTAATGAGCAAAAACGTTCTGCTCTACCTTCCCTAGGTTAAGAGTCCTAAGTATCATTTTACCCCTCTTTTGCAGCAGGGGTTGTGGGGAGTGGAGGACTGGTAGAACAAGGAAGGGACCTTCTTGTTGTTGTTGTTGTTGTTTTAAATAAAAAAAAGAAAGCAGAGTAGCAACAAACAGACCTAGTTTTCATGATTAACTCTTCGGAACTCTCAAAGGAACGGTTAAAGGCAAAGACCTGTTTTTCCTCAATTTATAAACATTCACTCATTTTCAAGGCTTAATACCTTTAAAAAAATTGAGACACATTTCTAAGTTTGTAAACTTGGTTTTTACAAATTAAGAATAACTGATAAGCCATAATGTTCAAACATAATAAAAGCATAAAAATGTATTCATTAATAAAAGTACAAAAATAAATCATATGAAGGCTGAATCAATACTGAATGCAATCTAGCAAAAGAAAGGCCTCAGACAGCCTAAGCTTCCACTTAGTTAAGAGTTCCGCATTGGCTTAATCCTAACATGGTAGCCCATCCCTCTGTGTGCTTCCGCTAACGCTCTTTCCCTCTATTTTAAAAACTCCATTATATTCCTCATCCATGGAGAAAGGAGACCAAGTTGTAGAAAGGCAGAACACCACTGATGAATGACTCAGCCTCACTTTTTCTCTGAGAAGTGACACACAAAAAAAACAAATTCCATAAGGAGGCAAAGACTGCTTCTTGCCCTCCCCAAAAAAATGCACCAACAGAATAACAATATCCACAAGACATTAAAATAAACTAAAGCTTTTCAACAACATTAAATAAAAATACAATTTCTTCCAGGAAAATACTAATTTATGTTAATAGGATAGACAGCCCTTCTTAAATTATAAAATAAAGAAGTCTAAGGTTACTTTTCAGTACAGTCAGGAAAGAAAAAAAGGAGGAATAAAGTACAGAACTGAAACATTATTTTGTTTTACTATAACTCAAATAACTCCTACCTGAATAGCTACATCTGAAACTCCTTCATAAAATTTATTTAATAACAATGAAAAAAACTTGTTTACAAAAGTATAGTGGCAAAATGTTCTTTCAAGTATTATCATCATTGAAAAACAAAAGCTTACTGGAAAGTCTTTGTCCAGTTCATTTATCTGAACAGCAAAATTGTCTGGAAATACTCCTTCTTTACCATTAAGTTCACCCTTCCACCAGCCAGCTTCTCCAGTCTCCTAAAAAGCAAAACAGAAAAAGACAATAGAAGTTTTTAAGATAAGGTCAGGCTGGAGTGCAGTGATGCAATCATGGCTAACTGCAGCCTCAACCTCCTGGGCTCAAGTGATCCTCCCATCTCAGCCTCCCAAGTGGCGAGGACCACAAGTGTGCAACCATAAACTTCTGGGCTCAAATGATCCTCTTGATTTGGTCTCCCAAAGTGTTGAAATTACAAGAATGACCCACTGTGCCCAGATGGAACTAAACAGATCACATTGTCCTAAAAGAAAATATTCCCCACATATTACTTTTAGCAGTAGTTACAAAATTGAGTTTAATTTTTTTAAAACATATCAATTTTAAAATTCCATCTATAAGGTTAAAATGTTCTCAGGGGAAACTGGAAAAAGATAAAATAAGGCCGGGTGTGTTGGCTCACACCTGTAATCCTAGCATGTTGTGAGGCCAGGTTGGGTGGATCACCTGAGGTCAGGAGGTTGAGACCAGCCTGACCAACAAGCTGAAACCCCATCTCCACTAAAAATACAAAAATTAGCTGGTGTGGTGGCAGGCACCAGTAGTCTCAGCTACTCAGGAGGCTGAGGCAGGAAAATCACTTGACCCCAGAAGGCAGAGGTTGCAGTGAGCAGTGATCGTGTCACCACATTCCAGCCTGGGTGATAGAGCAAGACTCCATCTCAAAAAAAAAAAAAGTTAAGATGAAAGGAAGCAGAAAGGAGAGAAAGATGGAGAGAGAGAGAGAATTTGAATTTCCAAACTGTATCTTTCTTAACATTCTTAACACTTTATATACTAAAAATTAATCACATTATTCAGCTGCTTTAAAAAGTAATGAGATTTGACCAGGCACAGTGGTTTCATGCTTTGTAATCTCAGCAACTTGAGAGGCTGATGTGGGAAGATCGCTTGATGCCAGGAGTTTGCAAGACCAGCCTGGGCGATATAGCAAGACCGTGCCTCTACAAAAATATTTGAAAACATTATTAATTAGGCACAATGCGATGCAACTGTAGTCCCAGCTACTTGGGAGGCTGAGGCAGGAGGACCACTTGTGCCCATGAGCTCAAGGCTGCAGTGAGCTATGATCACATCACTGCATGTCAGCCTGGGCAACTAAGCAAGACCTTGTCTTTAAAACATATATTTTTTTGAATTAACAAGGCCTTCTAAGTTTCTTCCAAATACTCACCACCCTTGCATGAAAAATTAGGTGTAATCAGTGCAAACTATATTAATATTAAAAATTACATACATCTGTAAAATTCTTGCTAAATGATTTTACCTGCTGTTGCCACCAAAACAATAAACTGTGTGAGACGACAGATATGTCAATTTGCTTCACTATAGTAACATTTTTACTATTTATATGTATCCTATAACATCATTCTACTTTAAGTATACACAATAAAACTTATTTTTTTAAAAAAATTACATACACTGTGCCATCTAATAACAAAGTCAATGTAAAACAATGGGGCCAGGTGTGGTAGTTCACACTTGTAATCTCAGCACTTTGGGAGGCCAAAGCAAGAGGATTGCTTGACACTGTTTACAATAGCAAAGACCTGGAACCAACCCAAATGCCCATCGACAATAGACTGGATAGGGAAAATGTGGCATATGTACACCATGGAATATTATGCAGCCATCAAAAATGAGGAGTTTGTGTCCTTTGTAGGGACATGGATGAACCTGGAAACCATCATTCTCAGCAAACTGACAGAAGAGCAGAAGATCAAACACCGCATGTTCTCACTCATAGGTGGCTGTTGAACATTGAGAACACATGGACACAGGGAGGGGAGCACTACACACTGGGGTCAGTTGGGGGGAAATAACAGAGGAAAGGTGGGGGGTGGGGAGCTGGGAAGAGATAGCAAGGGGAGAGGTGCCAGATGTAGGTGATGGGGAGGAAGGCAGCAAATCACACTGCCACCTGTGTACCTATGCAACAATCTTGCATGTTCTTCACATGTACCCCAAAACCTAAAATGCAATAAAATAAATAAATGGGAAAAAAAAAAAAAAAAGAGGATTGCTTGAGCCCAACAGTTAGAGACCCCCTGGACAACACGGCAAGACTCTGCCTCCACTTAAAAAAAAAAAAATAAGTGAGAGGAGGAATTTCAAAAATTATTCTACATTGTTATAGCAAAAACTAAATATTTGTAATTTTCCTAAACATAGATAGTTATTTTAGGATTCTGCCCACACACAAGTACTACTGGGTTTTCTCTTTATTTTGCATTAGGATTTATTCCAAGTTATAAAATCACTTCATTCTTTAAAATGGTGACATCATTTTCCATAGCATGAAGAGTTTCAGAACAATTTCCATACTGATGGACATTTAGCTTGTTTCCCTATTTTTCTTCTTCTGTTTATATTACAAACAACACTCCAAACAATATAGAGGAGAAAAACTAGAATAAGGCGAAAGAGAATTAAGAACAGAAACCTGGAAAGTTGAGATTAATTAAAAAAAAAAATTACTTAGAAAACAAAAGCAAATATGATGGTTAACAATAATTCCCAATATATAAATTTTAACAAATATAGACAATAAAAGTTAGCTCAAAAAGAGAACATTCTGAGCACTTACTATGTGCCAAGTTTTCAGGACTTAGAAACAAGACAAAGTCCCAGCTCTTCTAGATTCCAGGGTGAATATAAGAACATTCTAGGGGGAATATATAACTTTTGAAAAATATTTCTACAAATAAATTAATTCACTGAAAAACAGAAATACCTTACCTTACTTATCAAATGGATTATCTCCCCCTCTTTAAAAGTAAGTTCATCTTCATTAGTACCTTCATACGCAAATAATGTTCTACAATATTCTTTAGCTGAAATAAATAATGTAAATAATGTGGCTCACACAAATGGATTAATTCAACAAATACTTATTAAGACTCTATTTTGCATAAAGTACACTAAAAGTTATCAAGGATGAACTTAATAATCTATCTTTAAATTTTAAAATACTTATAGTTAATACCATATATTAAGTAACAATTTCATTAATCACTCATTCAAATATAAGTGCTTGTGATGTTCCAGGCACAGGTTCAACTACAAAGAGATACATCACTCAACCAATGAAGTATATCAAAATCCTTGACCTCATGGTGCTTACATCTAACAGAATTTACTATTCTAATATAGTAGTATAAGAAATGCTTTCAACAAGTCTCATAATACATTTGAGTATGTTTCTACTATTCTCAATATGAAAGCTTTATTCAAAAACATACCTTTAATTTTACCATCTGTGTCTGTTTTTGTTATCTCCACACTCTGAGTTTTGGGTCCCAGTGACTGTATGATTAAGGGCTAGAATAGAAAAAAACAATGGCATAAACTATTTCAAGATAGAATAAAGATAATATTGTTAAACAAAGTTTCCATTTACAGTTACCCAACATTCCTTAACAGTACTTATAAGCTAAGTTAGTAATGTGACCGAAGACTCAGCAATAAAAAAGGTAAAGATCTCCAAAGTTCCTAAATCATAGCTCAGAGGTATCAATTTAAAGATTCCTTATCTTAAAGATAATATTCTCTGATGCCCATAGTATATTAATGAGATTTAACTTTAGAATCTCTAAAATAAGTAAGAGGCTAGGTACTGGTGGTTTATGCCTAAGTTCAAGGTTACAGTGAGCTATGATTGTGCCACTGCATTCCAGCCTGGATGATATGGTGAGACCCTATCTCTTAAAAATATAATAAATCAAATTAAATAAGAACAACAGCACTTGAGAACTTAAATCCCTGGACTAAAGACTTACATAACAGTGAAAATAGGACTAATAGCCTCATTACTATCTGCATAAAGTGGGTACTATTTATACAATAATATAAATTTATATAAGTAATCTGTCCACAGTAACAGGAATTTAGCAGCACAGCCCAGATTGAACCCAGATATAAACCTTAAACTAAGAGAGGAGAAAAATAATTCTTTATACTTCATTGCTATTTGAATGTAAATGATTCAGGTAATCTTATGTTCCTTATAACTATAGTCCACTAGACATTTTTCCATTGTAATTTACTAAAGAAAGTCCGTTACCACTTTATACTAGTGTTTCCTTAAGTTCTCTACCCAGAAACAACAGCACATTTAACCTTAGATGTCATTACTTAAAAGTCTGAAAACACTGCTAACTGACCTACCTATCACTGTGTTTTCGTTTATCTTCTAAGATACTTACTTTAGTTTTCTCCAACTCTAACCACCATATTTTCCAATCTGGTGTACCTATAAACACAGTAAATGTGATCCCTATTTTATCAATTCTTGGATCAGTGATTAAAGCACTGACCAGACCATTATACAGGGTAAACCTGAGATTACTCTCACTAATAACAACTCCTGAGTAGCAGACATTATCAAGGATTATAAGATGATTAATATAATCATTAATCAGATAAAGCTATTCAATCTAATCATAAACTTTAGAGTTTGAAGGGGCACAAGATCATCTAGTCTAATTTCTATCACAATGCAAGAATTGCTTGTCCAACATTCTGAGGTATTATATGGCTATAGAGTACCACCCCAAAATCCATGAGAATTCCAGTCTTTACCTTTAAAATCAAGAATCAATTTGACCCCATAATCCTAATGCCATATAGTCTCAGAGATAGGAATGTGCAGGATAGAAAGTGCAAGTTCTCTTTTCTGAACCCAACTCTGCACTATTACATAAGAAAATAGGTAGCAAGTTGGGATAGGAAAAAAAAAAAAAGTTGAATCCATCTAAGAAAACTTCGTAATATCTCAAAAACTAAAACACAGTATTATAAATGAGACGTAGCTACACGAATCAAATAAATACTGAAATATTTTAAATTCTTCAGAGTTAAAGAGATAGGATTGACAGAAGGAACTGTAAAAAAATGTTCTACAAATTGTAGCTATTTTACCACCAAAATAACAGCTTAAGATTTTATTTTAAAGCCTCTTTTAAGCTCTTACAATGTATGGTTCATTTACTTTGTTTCATTTCACAATGACAGCAAAATGCTAATGAAACAAAATTCTCCACACATTCAAAGGAAGATTAGCAAATTTAACAATTGTTGACAATCCAGAGGAAAGTTAAGTAGTGGCAAAATATTAAGTAACAATATTTTGTAAATTCATTTTAAAACAGACCATTTTAGGTATATTTCAAATTAAATATATATTTATTTTATTATATTAATTATATATATAAAACTAAATTTATATATAAATTTATCTTTAAAAAGCAAAAATAAAACTCTCTAATTTTTATTTACACTGTGATAACTAAAAACCCTAAAGCTTCTACTAAGTGTGTTAAATTTACCAAGAAATAAGCATTCTAATTTTATTAGATTCACACATGAATATTATTGTAAATTTGGAGACAAAATTTCTCACAGCCTCCTCATTCATATCCAAATTATTAGTGATCTGGAAAAAAAAAATCTAACAGTTACAAACTGACTTTTACATTTTAAAAAATGCTTAATGAGAGAATGAGTGGAATCAATCTAATGTAAATTCATCATTATCACCTTTTCTGGTTTCTTCTCTTCTGTTTCACTACTCGATGTTCTTGTCCGAAGTTTCACAGAGCCTTCTTTAAAAATGTCTCCAAATCCAATTCCTCTAATTTTCTTGGGCTGTGTAACTGATCCAGGCGCAGTTTCACTACCATTTCCCGGGGAAGGTAAAGGTGAAGTAGGCCCAGCCAAAACAGTTTCTGAAACAATAATTTGTTTTTGAAGAATGACACCTAGAATCACAAAACTCTTGGCATCCCCTGCCATAATGTCTACATTATATACACCTTCTAATAAAGCACAGTAGAATAAAAACAATAAATTAAATGATGCAGTACTAAAATATCCAGAAGAGCAAGATACAATTTGTGCAATTTACATGGACTTTTTTATGATGAAAAACAACAACAATTTTAGGTAAATTTAATTAGTAAAATTAAGAAATCCTAATTAGGAAATCAGTCATACAAGGTCCTTAAAAACAGGACGTCAATTTACAGCTTTTGGCCAAAGATGATATAACCTGAGACACACATTAAAGAAGACCATTTTTTTAAAGTTATATGATTCAACCCAATCAAAGTTAACATGAGTTTCTGAATATAAAAACTGGGAACATTAAAAAATGTTTATTTTAAAAAGGTCAATAGTTTATAACCTGTAATGTTAGCTCAGAGATTAGTCTAATTTTAAAGCAGTCAGTGGAAACTCAAATTATTACATAATAAAAATTTTTAAGTTTAATATTATATGGGTAAGAACTTTTTACATTCTTGCTCAGTAACAAGGGTTCTTATTTTCAGGTTCAATGAGTCCACAAACAACCCTATGGAAAACTGTGTGGTTATTTTTACAGTACATTTTTCAGGGTAAAACAGGCACAGGTTTTATCAGATCCTCCAAGAGCCTTATAATCTAAGAAACAAAGTTCTAGAGTAAGTCATCCAGTAAAAATCCAGAAACATTTAAGATTGAGGGTACGAGGTAAGGAAAAATAAGTGATATCAGTTCACTGAACTAAAGTAGTCTGTTGAAGTATAACAGTAAAAATACGTGATTAAAAAAATAGTAGTTACCATTCATTCAGAGCTAATTCTGTACCAGGTACTTGGCTAAGCACTGCATATGAATTATCTCATTTTCATAAACCTACATGGGCTTCTTAACATTAAGCACTATTACTCTTCATTTTACAAATAAACTTGAACAAAGGGACATTAATGACTTCTCCAAGGAGCCACAGGTAGTTAAGTAACAAGGGGAGAAATGCCAGATATAGGTGATGGGGAGAAAGGCAGCAAATCAGATTGTCATGTATGTACCTATGCAACAATGTTGCCTGTTCTTCACTTGTACCCCAAAACCTAAAATGCAATAAAATATATATATATTTTTAAAAAGGTTAAAAAAAAAGACAATTTTTGAAGTGAACTCTAGATGACCTCAAAACCACACAGTCTTAAACACTTCAATATAATGGCTCAAACCACAAAAGTCTTCAATCAAACGTGAGACATCTTTCCGCATCTATTGAAATGACCATTTTACAGATGGTTTGCCAAAAGAAGTTATCAAGAAACATAATGCTAACAAGTATCACAATCTACCTTAACCATTTTCGATATTATCCTAAGTCACACAGAAGACTGAAGTGGAGAAGACAGTTTTGTAATATATTTTTAAAATTCAACTGCATTTAGGGAATGTTTATAATCAATAAAACAATCCATTTTAAATACACATTTCAGTAATGTTTGGCATGCTGCACCATGAAAATACAAGATACAGAACAATGCGTCGCCCAACACTTGTACACCATCACAGTCAATCCTTTCCCCAAACCTCAAGAAACCTCTGAACTTCACTGTCACCAAGCCCTTTTTCAAATAAATTATAATCATATAGTATATAAACTTTTAACTTCTTTGGCTACACAGAATATTTGAGATTCGTCCACGCTGTTGCAGGTATCCATGCTTCATTCCTTCTTATTGCTGATTAGTATATCATTGTACAGCTATACTACTGTATCTACCATTAAGAATGTAGCTCCAGGTTTTTCACAGATGCACTTTACAAAATTTAGAAAACTCCCTTCTATGCTACTATGTAGAGCTTTTATCATTAAGTACTGAATGTGTAAATTCTTTCTGCATCTAGTGAAACGACCACATGGTTGTTCCCCTATAAACTATTACTATTGTGGATTATATAAATTTTTTAAATCAACCTTGCCTGGATAGGATAGACCCCATTTGTCATGATGTACTAACCTTCACATATTTTGCTGAGTTTGATGTAACCTTTATATATTTTGCTGAATTTGATGGACTATTTCAAGGATTTCTGTGTCTATGTTCATGAGCGATAATAATACGTAAATCCTCTTTTTCAAATTACTTCATGAGGTTTTAGTATCAAGGTCACAGAGACCTAAGAAATTTGAAAGAATCTATGTAAGATCAAATGCTTGATAGAATTTACCAGTGAAAACCACCTTGGCTAGATTATTTAGAATTTGTTTTGTCTATGTCTGTTTTGGTAAATTATACTTTTACAAGGGTTTGTACATCTCATCTAAGTTGTCAAATTTATGAGCAACCTCTGCCTCCTGAGTTCAAGGAATTCTCCCACCTCAGCCTCCCAAGTAGCTGAGACTACTGAACCCGCTAGTGCCTAGATGAGAGGACTTCTCAAACGCCAGAACTGTGAGAAATCAGGGGTTTTTTTTATATATATAAATTACCCAGTCTCAGGCATTTTGTTATAGCAGCATTAACTGATTAAGGTAACTTCAATGTTTGTTTTCTTCAATGTTTGTTTCTAGGCTTTAAAACATAATTGCCCCTCAGTACCCATGAGGGATTCTCTTGTGATTTATATAGTTTCTGAAGATAATCTGCAGAATTCTTACGTCATTTATTTGATGTGCCTTTTCTCTTGTAGTACCTTCTAAGGTTTTCGCTTTGTTGCTTCTATTTAGCACATGATTATAACGTGCTAAGCTTTGTTTACACGTCTTGCATTTGTGGATTTACAGCTTGTATCAAATTCAGAAAATTTTTTGCATTATTCCTTCAAATATTTTTTCTGTCCACCCTCTCTTCTCTCCTTCTGACACTCCAGCTACATATGTTAGACAATTTAAAAATTAACCCAGCCAGGTGCAGTGGCTCACACCTGTAACCCCAGCACTTTGGGAGGCCAAAACAGGTGGATCACTTAAAGTCAAAAGTTTGACACAAGCTTGGCCAACATGGTGAAACCCCTTCTATACCAAAAAATACAAAAATTAGTCAGGTGTGGTAGCACACACCTGTAGTCTCAGCTACTTGGGAGGCTGAGGTGGGAGAATTCCTTGAACTCAGGAGGCAGAGGTTGCACTGAGTGGAGATTATGCCAGTGGACACTGTGCCACTGCATTCCAGCCTTGGCGACAGAGTAAGACCCTGTCTCAAAAATTAAAAAAAAAAAAAAAATTATCCCAAGTTGCTGGAGTTTTTTTGAAGTTTTGCAGTCTTTTTGCTCTTTCCGCTCCATTTTGCATATATTCTATTGTTACATTTTCAAGTGCAAGGATCTTTTCTTCTACATTGTCTAGTCTCCTGTTAAAAGTTTCACAGGAAAAAATTCTCTTCAGATATGTTTTTCACCTCTAGTAGTTCCATTTTGTCCTTTAAATCCCATCCCATTTCTTCTACATTGTCCAGTCTTCTGTTAAATGTTTCTCAGGAAAAAATTCATTTCAGATATGTTTTTCATCTCTAGCAGTTCCATTTTGTCCTTTTAAATCCCATTTAGCTCTTCTTTTTTGTATCTTCTACTTACTACTCATTATTAACATTTTCCATTACAACCTTGAGCATACTGAGCATTTCTATTATAGTTATTTTAATGTCTGCTAATTCCATCATTTCGAGGTCTCTTTCTACCAACTAATTTTTCCTCCAGATTATGTGCCACATTTTCCTGCTTCTATTTTTTACTCTTTTTTTGAGATAGAGTGTTGCTCCGTTGCCCAGGCTGGAGTGCAATGGCGTGATCTCGGCTTACTGCAACCTCCACCTCCCAGGTTCAAGCAATTCTCCTGTCTCAGTCTCCCAAGTAGCTGCGATTACAAGCGCCTGCCACCACACCTGGCTAATTTTTTGTGATTTTAGTAGAGACGGGGTTTCACCATGTTGACCAGGCTGGCCTCAAACTTCTGGCCTCGTGATCTGCCCACCTCAGCCTCCCAAAGTGCTGGGATCACAGGCATGAGCCACCGTGCCTGGTCCCTGTTTCTTGATACACCTATTATTTAAAATTTTGATGTCGTTGAATGCTAAATTTACAGTAATCCTTTACAATAGTCATTCCCAATCAGGGTGGATTATGCCTGCCAAGAGACATGAGACAATAAGTGGAGACATGTTTGGTTATTACAATGGGGAAGTGTTACTGACATCTAGTGAGTAGAAATCAGGAATGCTTCTTAACATCCCGTATGTACCAGATAGCCCCTGAAAACCAATAATTATCCAGCCCAAAGCATCATCAGTGACAAGGTTGAGAAATTCTACTTTAAAAAGTGCAGGCAGCTTCTCTGTGATTTGATTAACTTTTTTTTTAATGTCTACTTAGGCCTGACGCAATAATTTCTCCAGGCTCAACCCTCATCACATCCAATTACATACTCTAAAATACCTCCAAATTAAATCTCTTTCAGGATCTTGAAAATGCTATACTTTTCCTCACCCTCTGCCACAAATGCTTAGAAATTTCCTAGCCATTTTGGGATCTCAATCTATGACTTCTTCTAGAGTACATTCTTTAACAGTCTACCAATTCTGGACTAGCCTTCTTATATACATTTACTGCACCCTTTCCTGTAACAAATATTTCTCGTACTAAATTACAATCACTTTTTCAATCATCTTTTCTTTCCCAATGGAAAAAAGTTTCAAACAAGAGGGGGAAATTATACCTAGGTTGCTGATCACTATATTCCCAGGAACTTTTACAATATACTTAACAACAGGCACTCAATATATTGAATGAATGAATATATGAATGCTGAATTAACTAAACAGTTTATTTATGTGTAGAATTTCCCTTTACTGGCTTTGACTTTTAAATTTCAGATTTTGGAATATACTGCCATCATGAGAAATGCTAGTATACCCACATATTACTACTCATAACTCTCAATAAAGGGCAG